CGTGAATAGTGTGAATTGTCTCGGGGGTGGTGTTAATACGTGGATTTAGAGTTCTAGGGGACGTATCCAAAATTAGACTTCTATTGTTCTGCTATTGATGCCCTTTTAAATCCGTAGGTTGACTCTTTGAGGGTTCCTGCTGCTGTTGCTGCTTCTGCTACTAGTATTGCTCGTACCACTAGTACTAGTCCTACTACTATTCCTCCTCCTCCTCCTCCTCCTCCCACTACCACTACCACTACCACTACCACTACCAGGACTACGACGACCGCCACCACCACCACGACTACTACTACTACTGCTACTACTACTACTACTGCTACTACTCTACTACCACTACTACTACTACTACTACCACTACTAGTACTACTAGTACTACTACCACTACTACTACTACTACCACTACTACTACTACTACTACTACTACTACTACTGCCACTGCCACTGCCACTGCCACTACCACTACTAGGACTACGACCACCACCACCACGACGACGACTACTGCTACTACTACTACTACGACGACGACTACTACTACTACTCCTACTACTCCTACTACTCCTACTACGGCTACGACTATACGACTACGACTACGACGATGGCGACGACTACGACTCCTGCTCCTCCTCCTCCTCTTCCTCCTACTACGACGACGACGACTCCTACTCCTACTCCTACTCCCACTCCTACTCCTTCTCCTACTACTACCACTACTACTACTACTACCACCACTACTACTACTACTACTACCACCATCCCTACCCTCTTAAGCTACTGCCGGGAGGGGGGACCTCAACAAAGTAAGTTACATTTTAGGGTACCCCCCTAGGGGGTCAAAAAATGTAAGTTACCCCTCTCCCAGGCACCATCGAAACGGGTAAGGGGTGGGGGGGGTGCAAAAAAAAGTAATTTGTTGCATGGGACGTGCTTATTCACGTCGCTTCGCGACGGTAACCGCCCGCACCGCATGGGAGGGCTCAAAGACTGCAGTCATGCTCAAGGAACGGGTCAAGGTAGGTACTTCCATTGAACATAGCCCCAGAAGTCACCCCCCCCCAACGTGGCCGAACATAGCTTCCATATTGCCTAACATAGCGCTAGAATGTGGGAACGTCGCAAATTGGTGTATCTTTTCCGCAGGTAGCTCGAGACGTTCACCGGATATTTGGCTCAACAGGAGCAGAGATAAGGAACGGTAACATTTTCTAACGAGGGCTCAAAAGGGACTGGAATAAAGTAAAGATATTGCCTAACATAGCTCTAAAAGTCACTATCTAAAGGACATATCTGCGAAATAAGGACGTGAACGTCGTAAACATAGCCCAACGAGGACCGGATCAAAGACCCCCCCTAATGTGACCAAACATAGCTTTTTCCAGGAACGGTAAGATTTTCTCACGAGCATAGCTTGCATATGGTCGAACATAGCCCCAGGAGTCACTATCTCAAGCATGCTTCCTCGAGACAGGGACTCGAACGAGGGCTCAAAAGGGGAGCCTGTTCAGCCAAATGTCCGGCCTCAGTCCAATTACACTTTACCGCGTAGATGATTCAAACACGTCCTTTAGATAGTGACTTCTAAGGCTATGTTAGGCAATCTCTTTACTTTATTCCAGTCCCTTTTGAGCCCTCGTTGGGCCATGTTTTGCGTTCAAGTCCCTATCTCGCAGACACGTCCGTTAGATAGTGACTTCTAGGGCTATGTTAGGCAATATGGAAGCTATGTTGAGCCACGTTAGGGGAGCCTGTTCAGCCAAATATCCGGCCTCAATCCAATTACATTTTACGGCGCAGATGATTCAAATCATGCAAAGGAAGAAAATGGCATTTCTTGCGTCAATTCAAATCATGCAAAGGAAGAAAATTGCATTTCTTGCATCACCAAGGGCTTCAAAATAGCACGAATTCATCTTCCAGCATTTTAAGCCGGTTCCAAAAACGTGAAAAACACAGTATTCTAGAGCGAAAATGCACCCCCCTAGCTAAAGCTATTGGCTTGCCCAGGCTAGCTTACGTATACCGCGTGCCTTATAAAAACGCCTCGGCACCTTCGGTGCGGGCGGACTTACATTTTACAACACCCCCAGGGGGGTCGGCAGATAGAAGGGGGGGGAGGGGGTCTGGAAAATGTAACTTGCGACCTGGGAGGCCTGAATTTACATTTTTTACTCCCCCCCCAGGGTGCGTTGGCAGATCGAAGGGATGTGTGGGGGATATGTGAGACTGTGGCAAGTATGAGATCTGCAAGTCAACTTTTGGAATCACGAAAAGGTGAGTTTTGCAGACGTCAAAAATTGTAACTTACAATTAGTCCACGCATCCAAACCCTCAGATTTTACAGGGAATGGATGGGTTATGTGAGAAAGTTTGACCTCACAAATTGTAACTTGCATTAATGCCACGTGCCCAACTCCTCAGAATTTACAAGGAACTGGGGTGTCCCCCTGAGTTGCTTACATTTTAGCATACTGAAAATCACACACGTCCGACGCCACGAAGCACAAGCAGGGGGCAAGAGACCAGGGGATCAAACAGAAACAGCCTCCAAAGTTCAACAGCCGAAAGGCCAACTCTGACAGAAACCGCTCCGGGGCACCGTTCCCTCGTTAAGGAATAGACACAGAGACAGGGGGAGAGGAGAAAAAGTAGAAAAGTAGCCAGTCAATTTCTAATTTTTAGATAGTTTCCTGGTCATATTCCTTCAGTTCCTGTTTTCCCTTGATGTTTGAAGAGTTTTGAGAGCATTTCTTAAAATTTGGAATTTGTACGTGTGGGACATGGTCTTCCCGAGGACTTTTTCGCATACTTTTGTTATCGTTATGTTATCGCTTTGGAACCCCTACTGCTTCACCCATCTTGGTGGCCTAACGGAAATGAGTGTGACTTACATTTTTGAGGTCATTCCCCGGGAAATCACCCATGAGGCCTCAAAAATGTAAGTTACCCTTTTTGAGGCCACCTCAAAGTTAATGTAATTACATTTTTAGAGGCCCTCCCGATGGGAAAATGTAACTTACAATTTTCGACGTCCCCCCTCAGGAAAGGGTAGTGATCTATTACCACTACTACTAGTACTAGTACTACTACTACTGCTACTACTACTGCTACTGCTACTACTACTGCTACTGCTACTGCTACTGCTACTGCTACTGCTACCACCACCACCACCACGACTACGACGACGACGATTACTACTATTACTACTCCTACTACTACTACTACTACTACTACTACTACGATTGCGATTGCCTTTACGATTACGATTACCGTGTATCGACAGGGCATTCCGGAAACCAGCTTTGGCTTGTTGTGATTTGGTGTAGCGTCGTGCCAGGCAGGGAGTGGCTGTCCCCAGTTGGCACTTGATACTCTGCCACTCCAACGCTCCCAGGTATTTTTCCCGTTGCCTACCGTTGCCTATGGCGTGCTTTGCAAGCAAATTCCACTGGACAAGTTCCCATCTCCGCTGGTGATCCTTGCGCTGTCAGTGTTGGGGTGTGCTTTTGGGGTTTGGTATGGCCAATTGTGCAGCGAAATGGGAACGCATTGCGTGCAGTGCTCACCGCCACCTCCCTTGTTCCCTCAGAATCTTGCATGTCAACGGCGATGGGCAGTTTTCATTCACCTGTGACTTCTGAGTTCAATGTTTTTCCCGCAGCTGCAAGGCTTCATGCTGTACAGCTTTGGGGCGTAGGGATTTCCCCGGACAAATGGTGACGGCATTCATCACACCCTTGGTGGGTGCCTGGAAAGGTGCTGCTGCTGCCAAGGCTGCCCTCATGACTGCAACAGCAGCTGCATCACACCTCCTACCACACAGTGGGGGCGAGGCAGTGGATATACACCACGGCCATGCGCAAGACAGCCATGGAGACCATGCTGATCATGGAAGCCACGCAGACCCCGCAGACCATGGAGATCATGGCCATGATGAGCAGCACCATGAGCATGAGGATCATGAAGAACATGAACATGATGATCATGAACATGAAGAGCATGAACATGAGCATGAAGAGGAGGGAGATGAGATGGAGGAAACGGTTGAGGCAGCCGAATTTGCGCATGAAAATGGAGCTGCAAGTGGGGCTCCTTTCTGGCGCAGTTTCCAGAAGAGGTCGCAGTCACATGCAAAACCGACTCCAGATTCAGCTAGCGCCACCAATGCAGAGGCAGTCCTGAAGGCAGTTGCCGCTGCTGCGGCAGTCGCCTCAGTGACATCTCGCATGGTTGAATCTCGTTGCCAAGAGCTTGGGTGCAGACCAGTTGGGCGGAATGGAGCCAGTGCAACTAGTGCAGCTCCAAATCTTGACCGAGTCATTGAGCGAGACCGTGCTCGCAAACCCTGGCGATTATGTGGAGATCCATTTCCAAACCCTGCTGGACAACTTCCCATGGTAAACTGAAGATGAGATGTGAGACGGTTGGACCGGGACAGTTGCTTGCAGGTGTTGAGGGATCATGAATCATGAATCATGAGCATGCTAGAAAGGTCAGGAGTCAGAAGACACATTTGTGTTGGAGACTTGCAGGCAAGGGTTTTGGTATACCGCTGTGAATTGTTGCGAGATTCTTGTAGTGAACGTCTCACTTGAGGACGCGAAGGGTAACCAATGTCTTGCATTTCGAAGCGTTGAGCAAGAGCCAGAAAACTGAGTGGCTAAGGGTGCATTGCCACTTGTAGCGGAAAGCATTTGTGAAAGAACATTCTGTATGTATATATTATATACTCTGTTGTACCTGATTGGATGTGTTTTTGTGCATCTGCAATTCTGCATGTCCAGAGTCCCAACTCAATACTGGCACATTACGGGTGTATTCTTATAGAGTAGAGCATTGCCTATTGTCATATGTTCAACGGTCGTTTTCACGTCAACAAGTGAAAACCATTTGCGTGTTATTCCCCAGCAACTACAACTATTTATGGCAATCCCGGGCAGGAATTTGGTGCAAGAACATGTTCAAACACAAAAGTTACAGAAAGTCACCAACTGTTGTGTAGAGAATAAACTCAGTGATGTTGCAGCCTCCCTGCACCGGGTGGCGGCCACCGCAAATGACAGAGGCCGACATTACCACCCTTTTGTGTGCAGCATTTCCAGTGTTTCATTGCCAACGGAGCTTTGAGGTGTGCAATGGGCAGCAAAACATGTACTGGACTGACCGGCCTGAGGCCGTGGGAGAAATGTAAAGATTGAATTGCAATGAAACACCTGGTCGCGAGGCCTGGGTCCCACAAGTCAGACGCGTCCCGGAGGTGCCCATGCCTGCGACTGAGCAGTCGTGAGGTCACAGAGAAGGTTGGGTTTTCAGTTTCCACATGTTCAGAGGCTAGAGCTCACACCTCTCTCCCTCTATATCTCTCTTGCTTTAAATTTGTAAACATCGCTGTGCATGTACAACTATAAGCATAGTCTTTTTTGTCTCATGAATCATCTCGTCACAACTGGTACATCCCAGGCACCCCCAACAGTCTGTGACACCTTTGCGGTGGGAGGCCAGGCTGTGCTTGAACGTTGCGTGGCGCAACTGCACTGTCCAGCAGTGCCCCGTACTGCAGACAGCTATCACAGGTGATGTTACCACCCTGGATGATCCAGAGTTTGGTACCGTAGATGAACTTTGCAGGCGGTTGATGTGGAAAGTTCGTGGGACCCAAGGCTGGCAAGCAATCGAGATGATTAGAGAGTGCAACTCTTGTGAGTCGCAAGTCGTTTTGGCATTTGCTGAGTTCGGGGAGGCTAGGGACCAAAGATGTTGATGCCTGGGCGACGCACTATCCGCAACGAGCCAATCTCAGTTGCGCTCCAAAAGATGAATGCTGGATGTCATCAAAGCTAAGGCGAGATCCGATCGCAGTGGCCGCCGAGTTGCAAATGTAGGGCCGGTAGCTGGCCACCAAGTCAGCACAGAAATGCAAGCGAGTGTAAGGAATGTGTGCTGGCTTTAGTGGGAGCTGTGCAAAGTGAGGCTTTGGCAACGGCCGAATGTGTAGTACCTATCGGGAAGGCAGCAACTTGCAAGTTCCAATTCTTGTGTGCAATCAGTGCAATTAAAGCCGGCTCATGCGAGGAGCGAAGATGTACGCTGATCAGAAGACTTTTCAACAGTCAGCAGCTACGCGTTTGAAGGCCCCAAAGCAGGGGAGTGAGTCTACCGCCTTGAGACTAGTCTACAATGGCTCCTGTGCTTGTGGACCGTGACTTGAGAGGCGCTTGAGCTGGAACATCAAGAGCTTCGGCGGCAGATCAACCAAGAGCTGCCTCCTGCTTGCACTTTCAGATACCGTGGTTCGTTTGGGAATAAGTGGCAGGCAGCCTTTTCAGGTGCCAAAATCAGCTCAAGGGGGAAAAGGTCAGCCGCACAAGCCAGCAGGACTGACGGTATTTGTGGGTGAATGCTTTATGAATGCTCGGGCTTTTCAAATGTTTTAAGATCAGATGCCGACAGCAGTTGTGCTATCAAAGTCCGGCGCGTCAGTCCTCCAAAGAGACAAACACTGCCAGAAGAAACACGAAGCGTCAGTCAATGTCGTGTGTATCCCAGTGCTGTCTTTTTTGCAATCTGTCGGTTGCACGTGCTGTTTTTTGATAGGAGTTGCGCTGCGAGGGCAGCTGTGGAAGTCGATGCACCAAAGCACGATCTCGGAGTGCACTCTTGATGCATTGGGATCTTAAACTTGAGAGTTTTGCTGTTTTGGCTGTTTATTGGCTCACCTGCTTCTTTCGAGGCCTGTGGTGGTCCACCAGGCCCAAACCTTGGCAGAAGCAGCGTGGGCATGCACCGAGATGCCCGGCAGGCAAGGCTGACCAATGATTTCGGCTTGTCAACCCATACTGGTAGCTGGTCAGGAGCGGGGGAGTCGTGAGCACTGGAACCGCGGCTCAAACCAGGGACTGCAACTGGCCCAGTTTGCAGTTGACAGTGGGGACAGTATGCAGCCTGTGAGGTATATATAGTTATATATATATACTTATATATATATGTTTATTTTTTTCTCTCTCCGGCCTCAGACTCAAACCTGAGGTCGGCCCAAGGCTGCCAAAAGCGACAGGCCCATCAGCAGTGCCGGCGTACGAGAGATGTGCGCAAAGACTTGGAATTGCGCAAGTGACTCCGAAGCTGTCTTACCTCTTGTTGAGCTGTTGAACGAATCTGCCCCTCCCTCACTTTTTGCGTTCGAATCTTGATGGTACGCTCACGTTTCCACCTTGTCTTCCCTCTTCGACGCCGCTCTTGTAAATCCTCTTGTTCATTGGGATTTGTGGGGCTCCCTGTGCGCTTGCTACTTCTTAAATATTGCGACTGCAGCTTTTTGGGAATGCTTGTGCCCAGGAGGTCAGCACGCCTCATTGTTGTTACTGTAGTAGTTATTTCGTGTCATTTCCAGTCACAAGTTCGGAGCGTGGCCTGCATGTGCTTAGTGCTTTCCATGACCAAAAACTTTGATTCTGCATATTCTGGAAAGCTATGAGTTGGGTGCAACTGTTGTTGGTGTAAGCAGAAGGCAACCCGGCAATCACAGGCAAGTTGTGCAACACAGATGCCCGGGCAGCCGATTGATCACAGGAGCATCCACCAACTTCCGCGTGAGTGCGTTGCCAGATAAACATATCAAATGCAGGTGAAACAAGCTGGACAGCATCTGAAACATGTGCCGCCAGGATGCAGCAGTATGAACTAGATGGCCAACATTTTGCCGTCCAAGATGCTACCATGGGCCATCAGGAAGCATCGCGAAGGGTCTCGCGACACGTCACGTCCCACACAGCAAGTTCACGATCTTTGGAGTGTTGAGCCAGGTTAAACCGTGTTTAAACATGTTAAACCCACACGCCATACACTTCACATACCTTGCGCCCAGGGATGTTGGGCTCAGCAGCTTGGTCATCAGGACGTTTCTTTCGCTCACGGTTTCATTTATTTTATCACCCGCCTGATCGTTTGCTGTGATCTTGTATTACATCTTGCAGACTTGAACAGCTTGAAACCTTGTCACTTCCAGCTCAAAAGCACCCCTCCACTTTTTGAGCACAAGTTGTCAAAAGTTCAGAGATGGTGACCAGGAGCAACAGCAAGTTCAGTACACTCCAGCACTTTCTGCAAGTGGAATGCCTGACTTGCATCAGCTCCTCGGCAGACAACGGTTCTTAGCTTTTTCAACGCCACTTGAAATCTTCGATGCTTCACACGAAGTGGCAAGCTTGTATGAGATTTCGCACCGTGGATGCATTTGAGGATGCCGCGTGCTGTGTGCCCGACACCATATGCGCTTGGTCTTTGCCTCAGTCTGAAGCCTTTCTGGACGTTCGTCCTGCTGTCCCAATGCAGGCTCCGTGTGTGGCCGTGGCGAACGAGAGCTTCCTGGATGGAGGAGCTGCAAGGCCCCGCCGTCTCTGAACGCCCAGCATGCTTTCCGGCAGCGCCCACTTGGCCAGGACAGCAATGAAATTCTGGGCACTTGCTCTGAAATCATCACCTCCACTGCTCGGTACATTTTTGATGTAGTGAAAAGTCTGACGCCCAGCCTGTATGGTGCCCTCTTTCAAAAAATGACACCTGCAGTGGCCTAGAGCTGCGCTGCAAGTTTGAAAGGTCGCGACCTGAACCGCAAAAGCCCGCTGAAGATCTTGTCAGCTGCAGATGGCTGTGCGGATGATACAATCCAGGAAGCTCAGGCGCAGATGAGTTCAGGTGTAGGCTGCAGGCGTGCTTTCCGGAGATCCATTGTTTGGCCTGCAGGCCCGTTACGTGCCAACAAGTGCTCGAGTCCTAGCTTGGCCCGACAGTTTCATTCTTTTTTAGAACGTTCTTGTGATCGGGTCGGGGCCTGTGCAATTAACAGAATTGTGGCACAGAGAGAAACTGAAAACGCAATTAGAAGTTGTAAGAAGGTAGCACCATGCCAGCTTACTCCTGTTTACTCCTGCCTTCTTGGCTGCCCTATGACGTTGCTTCTTTCTGGGAATCTTTTGCCAACGGAATATGCTGGAATTTGCTCGCGCCTGGTGCTAAAGAGTCACGGGTCAATTGCTTGTCTTGAGATGCCTCCAAGTTGTGCTTCCCGTTTTCCCCACAAGTGTTGGCAATTTGGGAGCCAATCTCAGAATCTCAGGTCATGCTGGCTCATGCGTTTGCAGCTTCCACTGGCGGGTGGTCAGACTACAGGACGAAGGCTGGCATTGCGTTGGTGTGAGCTCTACCGTACCTGGGTTTTCAATCTGTGCACATGCAGATTCGAGTGTATGGCGGAGACGTGCGGAATGCCATTATGCCGTTCTGGCAGTCCTTGCCTCTTTGGAATCGTGGGTGCAAGTGCACCGTAATGCAGCATGGCCCATGGTGAACTTGGTATTTGTGAGATTGGCAATGCTGACTAAGGCCCCAAGCCCTTCCATGGCAGCTTCCAATGTTCCTGGAGCATCGCTTCATTGCATTGGACAACACGAAGGACGAACACAATGCACGCCAAGACGAACACAATATACACATGCAAAGCTGAGGACTTTGCCCCGCAGCTGTACAATGGTCAGTGCGAGGCCAGCCCATGAAATCCCTGGCAAAGTCAAGAGATTTCAGTTCAGAGATATTTGGGCCTTTGGCATGGAGTCTTGAGGCTGGCCAGCTCTTTGATGTCGTCTTACTTCGGCAGGGTCTTTGCTTTTGTGATGATCCCTCGAAAATGGCCAGTTCATGGCCGCCGGTGCCTGAGAATGCACCATGATCGCCAGTACAGGCAACTCCCTGAACCATGCAGGATAGAGGTGACCCTCTCCTGCAAGTCGTGCATGAGCTGCCGTGCTGTACTTCCCCCTGAGTCACTACCACAGCAGGTGCGCATGTCCATCAGGCACCCACAAATTCGACAGACCTACGCTGTCAGGATCCGGCAACTGTCAGAAGAACTGCAATTTGTGGTGCTGGTCTTGGTTGATTTGGGCGCACATGCTTGTGATGATGTGAAGAGATCTAAGGGGTCTACCGACTTGAGCCCTGACCCTAGCCGGCGCTGGCCAAAAAAATTGGATTGTTATCAAGCTCTCTTGGTTGACCAATATGTTCCTAGGCCGTTTCTGTGCGAGAATCGGCCTGCATATCGTCTTGGGCGATGTGTGCTCCGATGGCGGCAACCTTAGACAATAGGAGAGACAATCCAAAGCTGTCGGAGTGTCGGACGGTGTTGCAGTCAGACTAGAGAGAGAGAGAGAGAGAACGCGCGCAAATAGCAGAAAGCAAAAGAACAGAGTTGGAATCCGTCTCCCCGAACGACAGGTGTCCAGACAGACTGGAGTGGGCTGTCTTGGATGATGCGGACGGTGGAGCTTGGGCTTTTGCGCGCGGAGTCTCAACTGGCTTGTTTTAGCACATTTTGATTAGCAGGTGTTGGCAGTGTCCTCAGCATCTCTCAAAGCATATCCAAAGAACGCTGACACTTAGCGGAGGCGTTTGCAAAGATGTGGTTTTGTGCTGCTTGAATATGGGACCACATAGCAGGACCTTGGGCATCCAATCCTGTCGAGAGGACCATGGACAGTTTGGGATGGACAAAGCCAGGGCCATGGCAAAGCCTTTAGTGAGAAACACATCATCAAGAAATGACATGCGCTTATCTTTACTTGCTGGCACTTAGACCATATCTCGGATGCCAGCTTTGCCTGCAATTTGGTTCAAGAAGCTTCTTCACCGCCGTCCGGGGCTTTGGACACTGACTGCAGCGACCAAGTTAGCAACATGACGAACTGCAAGGAGGGTTCAGACTGACAAGGGAATCTTGAAATTTGTTTGGGTGAGTGCATTTGAAGATTTGAATGGCGACAATGATTAGTTATTACACACACATAAACAAACACAAACATAATTACATATATATAAATATCTGTCTCTCTAATCTGTGTGCACATTTTTATGCATTTGTCGTTGCACTGAATTTCGTTGTCTGGACCTGGGCATGTGGGGTCCGGGTGCGCCAGTGACCACTTGGATGTCACGCATGCAGAAATATGTCTGCCACACAGTGGCTCATCCACCATACGGTCACATTGAAACTCAACATAGCCTACATTGTGCTAACAGATGTCACCAAACACTACCAATTATGACCTGTCATCACCTCAGACACAGAATCTGTGCAACAGCCTTGGGAAACATGGACAACGAATATATATATATGTATTATATTATATATATATATTTTGAATTCTTTGATGGTCACTCATTGACAGGTACACTGTTGTCCTAACTGCAAGTATGCACTGGCTTTATTTGAACATTCAGTTTTTTTTTTCAGGTATGAGTATTTGTACTAAAGTGCTACGATGGAAACCCGAACTTGAAAGCACATTTTCAAGTTCAGCAAAGTCATTCCTAAACGTAAACAATTTGCAAGTTCCACAGTTCAGCAATCAATCCTTTGCAGTGGGCCCTAGATACTATATACAAGTTGTATATAGTCAATATAGTGACTTCCTTCTGTGGAGATCACGTTTGTGATGAACAATTTGTTTCCAAATATTAAATAAGTTCTGAAAACACCGGTGTTCTGACAATGTCGATTGTCACATGGAACTCAATGTGAGTGTTCATCAAATCCCTATGGGTTTCAAGACTCTTCTTGATGCTTGGTGTGCGCCATAGATTTTTGAACTATACTTTATCACAAGGTGACGTGATTTGATTGGACAATGAACATCATTTTCAACACTATGGACTGGTACACCAGGGACTTCTCGTGTAATGCAACCAGCCATCATGGACGTCCAAGTTGTGTGTGGGATTGAACATTCCTTTGTTGAAGTTGAACCTTGCTGCTCCCTTGCTTGTGATACACGTATTCAAACACCGCAAATCAAACTCCCACTTGACATGTTTGTTGTCAATTGGTGGAGCCAGAGTTTGATTGATGAGATGTTGCCACTTGCACTTATTATGATTTAGGATTTTTTGGGGTGATGAACAAAGCTTGTTACACCACTACCTTGCAGGTTTCTCTCCACCTTTAAGGTGGAAATTATGTAGTTGGAACGTGTAACTTATAATGTTTGTTTATGTTGTCGTTCGTTGTGCAGATATTTGATGTGTACTTTTTTCTCTGGAACGATGTGCGCACTTTTGGTCCAACACATGGTTACATGTCCACATAGCTAAACACGAATCAGTGTCATATCCCACGTAGCTTTGGGCTCGACAGGGAATGCCCATCTGCAAGAGGTGTGCCAAGTGGCCACTCCTTGCGGAAAGGTGCCCCGTTTGCACCTCGGCGGATCGACTGCTCGCATCGATTGCCAACCCTCGAATCCCAGCCACTTACGAGGCGGAGGCGAAGGTGACCAAGGTCTTGGATTCAGCCTTTTACTCCATCTCAAGGTTGGTGCCAGAGGACGACAGTCCGAAGAAGGGAGATAGGTCTCCCAGCCCGAAGGCAGTCGAGAAGGCGAGCAAGGCGACTGAGGAGCGTGGCCGAGGTGAGAGCGCTAGAGGTGGCACTACTAAGGGAGAGGCTTCTCCCAGACTTCATTCAGGTGAAAGAAGGCGAAAGTCTCAGAGCCCTAAGAAGGAAGCCAAGGAGAAAGAGCAGACAGAGGAATCTAAGAAGCCGGAAGAAAGCGAGAAGAAGGAAGAGGTAACAAGGACAGTTCAGCAGAGTGAGGAGAAAAAGGTATTGCCCAAGAGAAGAGAGGAGGAGAGGACAAAAAGGGAGCGTTCCAGGACTCCCAAGCATCAAAAGGAGAAAGAGAAGAGGAAGGCTAAGAAGAGAGACAGCAATTCAAGGTCAGTTAGCGGATCAGTTGTGAGGAGGAAGAAAAGGGAGGACCACACCTCCCATAAGCCGGAGAAGGAAGAAGAGGAGAAGAGAGCAAAGCCCAGCAGTGGCATCCAGAGGGAGAGCTATTTGCGACCTCGACCCAGTCGGCGTGAGGCTAGGTCTCCACGGACGCCGGATCATCCTCCCCCAAAGGGGCCCCCAGTTGCGCCTGGACAAGGACGAGGAGTTCCGCAGGGTAAGGGCTGGCAAGGCCGTGTGCCCTACTCTCATCACCCAAGGTGGACAGAGAGCACCAACAAAGGTGTTACAAAAAGAGCGAAGCAGGAGCTTTACGAGAGGAGGCAGTACAGAGACCGTTGGTAAAAGGGAGCAATGGCTCCCAAGATGAGGAGACCCGCAGCAGCTGTAGGCAGGGTGAGGGGTTTGAGGAGGCCGGCCAGGTCAACAGCTGAGGAAGACCGTGAGGAAGAGAAGCCTTTGACTGAAGAGTACAATACGTTGGCATCTTTGACACTAGAGAGGATGAAGAGCTTGGACATTGTGGAGTTGGGAGAGACCTCATATTATGGAGGACACGCCAAGGTCTGTGGGCGCATTCGAAGGTTGATGCCCGCAGAGGAGGAGGTTGAATTCGAGTTGACCGGTACTATGTCGGATCGTGTTCTAGAGCGATTCGGAGGAGGAGGATCGCGGTTGATCAAGGTCCACATCTGCTCGTCGGGATGCCCCCAGTTGACAACCGGCGACACCTACATGCACAGCAGAGGTTATTGGGATTGCAGTGTGGCGCCAAAACCCTGGCACACTAACTTGGTGCCGGCTAGAGCTGGAGGTGACGCAGAAGTGGATGAGTTGGCAGGTTTGAGAGAGCTAGCCGTGGAGCGTGGCAAAGGGAGGGGAGGCGAAAAGCCTCCCAAGCCTGAGGAGAAAGAAGTCGCAGGTGAGCCCGCAGCAGGAGAGGTGAAGAAGAAGGATAAGAGAAAGCGGAGGAAGAAAGAGAGAGCAGCGGAGAAGGCCTTCGATGAGATGCTGGAGAAGAAGGAGGAGACCGAGGAGTTGGAGAGAGGTCAGAAGACGGCCCGGGCGCTTTTTAGCCATACCTGCTTGGACCCCAACGTGCCCAGGCGAAAGAGGCTGATGAAGAAGGCCCGGAGGGTCGGAAAGAAAAAGGACAAGAAGCGAAAGCGGTCAGACTCCAGCGATTCAGGGTCCTCTTCATCCACGACGTCAGAAGGCGACGGGGGGTCAGAGGAGGAAGGACCACTCTTCGAAGAGACGAGACGTCTCCGTAGGTTGAGTGAGAAATGCCCTGGTGCGCTGACGGCCCAAGCTCTCGACAACGTTCGGGAGCACCTACTATCGTCAAGGGGTGAACTCCACAGCCTCTCAAAGGAGCACCTGAGCCCGTTGTTCTCCATGTACACGCACCAATACTTGCAACCCCTTGCAAGTCCGGTGATGCTGCAGGAGTTACTCACCGTAGCTCAGGTCACCGACCTATTGATCCGAGGGAAGGTGGCCACTGCGATGGACACTCTCGTCCAAAGGGCAAAGTCGCTTGAGGCGACCTTGCGTGGTGGTCATTATTCTGTATCAAGGCAGCTGGAGTTAGTCAATTCGGAACAGGTCAGAATCTCAGAGCCCGCTGAACAAGTTGAGGCTGCGAAGACAGCGCGCGATGAGTTCCGCAACCGTTCAATTGGCAATAGGCCGCATGGCTTAAGCTCGCGTGGAGAAGGTGAAGTGCATCCCAAAGGTCGAGGAAAAGCCGTCCCTACCTCAGAGCCCTCGTACAAGCAGAAAGGAGGAGAGAAAGGAAAGGGAAAAGAGAAAGGAAAATGGGGAAGAAAGCAGAAAGACGAACAGTAAGGAGGGACGATGAGGTACGAGGGACGGGCAGTAAGACAGAGGGATGCAGAGGACAGAAGAAGAAAGGAGAAGTGTCAGAGAGGAGCCAACAAGTGGTGAGGAGGTCAGAGGACGAAGAGAAAGAGGTTGAAAGGGCAATAGATGCAATGCTGAACGAGTGTCAGAAAGAAGCACAGGAGGCGGCTGGTATGAGCAGTGTGTATAACCCTGGAGGTGTGTCTAAAAGGCCGAAACGGCCACTGGATGTGCCGGGCTGGGGAAGGGAGGATGGAGGTCCCTCCCAGACAGAGAGAGGGAATAAGCAATCTGCAGGCTTGGGCCGTGGACAGCGCCGTCTCTTTGTTGGGGAAGAACTTCATGGTGGCACAGGGGAGAAGAGAGACTTCTCCCAACCTGCATGGAGACCCTCTTCACGACTGGATTTGAAACCGTGCCGTGAGGAGCATTTTTTGACAGAGCATGGAGGCCATGAAACTTGGCAGATGGCTTTGAAAAGCGCTTGTGCAAAAAAGGAAAGCTTGTGGGAGGATATGAGTCCTGCACTATCACAATCTCTGGATGTGTTGACAAAGACCACGCGTTGCGGGCAGTCCACGGAGGGGGTCTTCCCTCTCCCACTTCCAGGGAGATTGGGATGGTGCGAAGAAGATGATCCATTGCTAGAAGGGCTCATCAGAGGGTTGAACAGTTTGTATGGGGTTGAGTCTCAGGGAGTTAAGAAGGTGTCAAAGGTCCAGAGGAGGATCCTGGAAAGGTTGAAGGGTGTGCTTAAGACCAGTGGCTTGCCCCGTGTGGTCCTCCCCACACTTACGTTTGGACAGTTTTTCACCACGAAAGGCATTGACTATTCAGGTGAAGAGGTTCGGGTGGCCAGGTCGTTCCAGTGGAAGATGATTGCTGCAGCTTTCCCTGAGGGGGTAGGATCATTGGATTTGTTGAGCTTCTGTGAAGGAGGCACCAGATCATATGTTGCAGAGTTCGAGCAATTCCTTCTTCCGCCCCAGGATCAGAACCTCGGAAAGACGCCGGCCACGATGGTCAACCAAGAGCACTGGGCGGAGGTGTGCCTGGGACTTGTCGATCGGGGGGTTTGTGGCCTCATGAGAAGGGAGGAGCTTTATCATGTTAAGGGGCGTCCATTACTGAACGGTCTGTTTGCAGTAGAGAAGGGCGAGAAGGCCGTGGATAAAGGAGGTGAAGAATTTGAGGTACGCAGGTTAATTATGAACCTGGTGCCAACCAATGGCTTGTGCCGAAATTTGGTGGGGGATACTTCAACTCTACCTACGGTCACAGGAATGTCTGGAACCGTCTTGGCGGATGGTGAACTGCTCTTGACATCGTCAGAGGACATACGTTGTTTCTTTTACTTGTTCCGGACGCCCCCTGAGTGGCACCGGTTCATGGGGTTTGGAAGGGAGGTCCCTGAAGAATGCCTCCCAGAAGGCTGCACAGGCAAGGGCTGGCACCTTGTCAGCAGGGTCTTGCCTATGGGATTCATCAACTCCGTGGCAATTGCGCAACATGTCCATAGGCGAGTCATCCAACAGGCCCTAGGAGGCGAAAGAAAGTTAGCCGGGAAGCAGCAAGAAATCCGACGGGACCGCCACCAGAGTTCCTCGGCTCATCAGTATCGGGTCTATCTCGACAACTATGACGAGCTGAACAAGGTGGATAAGACACTAGCCGAGAGTTTAGCGGGAAAGCCGTCAGCGTGGACGTTGGCAGTGCGTGAGACATATCAACAGCTAGGCCTCCCTCGACATCCAAAGAAGGCAGTCACACAGGAGGTTCAGGCCGAAGTTCAGGGAGCTTGGGTAGATGGTGAGGCTGGCCGGGCATCGCCAAAGTTAGAGAAGGTGGCGAAGTATGTCCGGCTAGCTCTTGAAATCTGCGTGAACGGCAAGGCTTCGCAGCGTGAGCTCCAAGTGGTCGGAGGAGGTTTTGTCTACATTGCAATGTTCCGCAGACCGTTGTTATCCGGGTTGAACGCCGTGTGGAAGCAGGTCATCGACTTAGGCGCAAAGGGGCCGTTTGCCCGCAGGTCTCTGCCGCAGGAAGTTATGCTGGAATTGGTCCGTTTTGTTGCACTGAGTCCTTTGGCCTATATGGATTTTCGGTTGACCACTTCTGAGCTTGTGACAGCCAGCGATGCCTCCACCACAGGAGGGGGGCTTTGCGTGAGCAGAGAGCTTAGTCCCTTCGGAGTTGCAGCGTGCCAGGCTGAATGTCGCGGAGATGTCGTGGAACCTGACGAGATGGACCAGGTGTTGGTGGTGTCGCTCTTCGACGGGATAGGCGCCCTTCGTGTTGCCTTGGACGCTCTGCGCGTGCCTGTTGGGGGGTATGTCTCTGTGGAGATATCCCCGGAGGCCAATCGTGTGGTAGAGTCCTTCTTCCCTGAGGTGGTTTGCGTGGGTGACGTTGCCAGCGTGACCAATGAAGTTGTCCTTGGCTGGAGGTTGCGTTTTGCGAATGTCGGGCTTGTACTGTTGGGCGCCGGACCGCCCTGTCAGGGTGTGTCCGGGTTGAACTCAGACCGCAAGGGCGCGTTGAGAGATGAACGATCCTGCTTGTTCCAGCATGTCCCCAGGATAGAGTCCTTACTTAGGGAGCATTTCAAGTGGTGCCCAGTGCACAAGCTTATTGAAAATGTGGCATCAATGGACGCTAACGATTGCCGGACTATGTCAGGAGCGTATGACACCCTGCCTTGGAGCGTCGATGCTGGAGGACTGACTTTGGCACGTCGGCCGCGTCTGCATTGGTGTAGTTGGGATCCCCTGAATCTTGAAGGTGCCAAGGTCGTCGAAGGGAGGGAAGGTGACCTCCCAATCAAAGGCAAGGTGGAGCTGGAGGTGGCCATCGACGAGCGTGACTTCCTGGAAAGTGGTTGGCAAAGAGTCCGTCCCAACGCTCCCTTTCCTACATTCACCACAGCGCGACCATCAGCAATTCCCGGGCGTCGACCTGCAGGTTTAGCCCTCTGTCCCCCAGAGGCGGTGTCCAGGTGGAAGGCAGACCTTCATCGGTTTCCACCATACCAGTATCGGGCAGAGAATTGCGTCACCAACCGGCAAGGTTCGTTGCGTGTTCCTTCGGTCAAGGAGAGGGAAGTGATCTTGGGGTTCCCACTCGATTACACCCGGCGGTGTCTCGTCAAGAGCTTGGAAGGAAGCACGGCGCACAACGACTGTCATCTGACTCTTCTGGGGAATAGTTGGTCCATTCCAGTGGTCGCCTATCTACTGTACTGCTTGTTCAGGACATTGGGTTTGTTGCCAAAGTTGAGCCTTGCCAGCCTGGTGGAGCGCTTGACCCCCGGGCGCGAACACTTCTTGTCTAGCCTCCTCATGAGGCCACCCTTGAGGCAGACCACAAAGTCAGGTAGTGTGCAGCAAGGCCTGGTGGCGCGGTTGATGGGGCAAGTCTCAGTTAAGGGAGAGGACATCCTGCTGCAACTGGGGTCTGATCTCCCAGCACGATATCACCGATTGCGAGCGTCCATCCCCAGCAGACTCTGGAGATGGAAGGATGTTGCAGGATGGCGCTGGACAGGAGATGTTGAGCACATCAACGCCTTGGAGTTGCGGGCCGTTAAGACGGCCATTGTCTGGCGGTTGAAGGAGCTTGAGGAGCAGGAGTGTCGCTTCTTGCACTTGGTTGATTCATTGGTCGTGTTGCATGCCTTGTCTCGAGGAAGGTCATCCAGCAGGAGATTGAGGAGAACGTTGTGTCGAATCGGAGCGCTTCAGTTGGCAGGAGGACTTGTTGGCATTTGGGGTTACGTGGATACCCACCAGAACCCCGCTGATCGGCCGTCGCGCCGACCCCTTCGAAAGAAATGGGGAAAAAGACCACGAAAGTGATGGAAGGTAAGAGCCAACAAGAGCGCAAAAAGGTTCGAAGCAAACTAGGTTCTCTCAAGGGGCTTACTGTTCAGCCTCGTACAAGGCAACGCTATACCGAATGTCTCAACCGCTTCTTCGACTGGATGGCAGGGAGGGGCTGGCTCTCCCAAAACAACAGGTTCGCTTGGACGCATTGGTCAGTGACTACCTCGAGCATCTCTGGGCCTCCGGCGAGGGTAGGTCTGTAGCCAACAACACGCTAGCGGCACTGCAGGACCAGGATCCATCGCTGAAGAAGAGATTGCCAGGGAGCTGGCGATTGTTAAAAGCATGGACGACGGTTGAGATCCCCAACCGAGCCCCACCTATGACCCTTCAGGTCTTGGATGCCTTGCGCGGACGGTCCATTTTTAATGACTGCCCTGCGTTTGGCCTGTCCCTACGGGTTGCCTTCTATGGACTACTTCGCACAGGAGAACTGCTGAGCCTACGGGCAAAAGATATCTTCATCCCTGGGCCTAAAGGACCGGCCGTCCTTTCACTGGGACTGACCAAGGGAGGTGCTCGTCAGGGCGCGGCGGAGAGTGTCACGCTGCATGAGCGTTCGATCCTCCCAGACCTGTGGCGATGGAAGCAGGCTAGTTCCCCTTCAAAATTTTTAACCCTCAAACCACATGCGTGGAGAGCATTGTTTACCAAAGCCATTGAGGCACTCAAATTGAATGACCTGCACTTCAGACCGTACAGTTTGCGCAGAGGGGGCGCGACGTTCTGGTTTAACCAGCACGGTTCGTTCGATAAATTGCTAGTGCAAGGCCGGTGGGCCGCTGCACGTACGGCTCGAGTGTACCTCAACGACGGCCTCGCACAGTTGGCCGACATGTCTCTGTCTAATTCGGTTTTAATTCCATACGTCAACTTGTATCGTAGGAGCCCAAACCTTGAGCCTGGACCCCCTCAAGGGGGGTCCAGGTCAGGGGGACGTGGAGCAAGAGCCAAGAAGGGACGAAAGGTTCAATTTTTTGCGCTTTTTTCTGTC